TGTACATGTGTGTGTGTGTGTGTGTATGTGTGTGTACATGTGTGTGTGTGTGTGTGTGTGTGTGTGTGTGTGTGTGTGTGTGTGTGTGTGTGTGTGTGTACATGTGTATGTGTGTGTGTGTGTGTGTGTGTGTGTGTGTACATGTGTGTGTGTGTGTGTGTGTGTGTGTGTGTGTGTGTATATGTGTGTGTATGTGTGTGTAAATGGTTGGTGTTGGTGGGAGGGGCTGATGGCACAGACTGGTTGCCTCGCTTCTGTCAGTGTGCCCCAGGGCAGCTGTGGCTACAGTAGTTTATCACCACCGTGTTTGGAGTGAATAAATAATGATTTGTGAATTATCATCGAGAGTCTAAAAAGGTTTATACTTATTATTATTATTATTGTTATTATTATTATTGTTGTTGTTATTGAATGTTTCCCAGAGATCTTTTGTTCACAGGGACACAGCCTCTGGGGCAGAAACACACTCCATATTCCAAACACTAAATCCACTTCAATCATTATTCCAAAACAGCAAATGTGATCAAATTGTCAGTTTTGTGAAGAAGAAACTCGAAGGTAGCATTTCATCATGCTCTTTTTTCACTTCCTCTTATTGATATTTACCCAGAGACAGAATACTGCCATTAATGTATATTATCAATATTTATTTGTAGCGTTTGATACAAAATGCAGAAAAGACTTATTAAAATCACAAAGTGCATTAGCATCATAAATAATCACAGCATTAAAAAGAAGAAGATCCTTCCTTCAGTTGTATTCACAGCGAAACAGAACTGTTTTTAACCCGGATTTCAACGTTACACAAAACATTTGAATACATCCAAAGAACACCCCTCATTTATTCAATTAAAATCATGATGAATGTGTTTCAGTAAGAATCAGGCAGCAACAACAGCAGCTACGTGTCAGAGCAGCGTGGTGACGTCACCGCGCTTCAGACGAAAGTGAAAGTAAATGTCTAGGCTGGGTTCGCTTTAGCAACTACCCTCGAAGATTCAACTAAACCCTGCGTCGTCAAGATCCTTTTGGGGAGAACGCGTCTCTGGCCACGTCTGCGTAAGTAGAATAGTAGTTTATATTTAGTTCAGATGAAGAAAACATCTTTATAAGCTTTATTTTCCTTCACCTTTGACCAGGCCGCTCCCGTTTCAGTCTACGCACTTTTTATCTAACCCTGGGCTTTTAAAACTACAAATATCTTCACAGTTCATTGAGTCACTTTTACTCCTCTTTTATGTCGTCGTTTTCCAACAAACAGTAAAGTTAATCGTCACAGGCCGCTCCCATTTCTGTGTCTTTTGCGCGCTCCCAACCCCTCTGCATGTCCGGGCCCCACTTTGGGAACCGTTGATCTTTGTGTGTGTGTGTGTGTGTGTGTGTGTGTGTGTGTGTGTGTGTGTTTGTGTGTGTGTGTGTGTGTGTGTGTGTGTGTGTGTGTGTGTGTGTGTGTGTGTGTGTGTGTGTGTGTGTGTGTGTGTGTGTGTGTGTGTGTGTGTGTGTGTGTGTGTGTGTGTGTGTGTGTGTGTGTGTGTGTGTCTCTGTGTGTGTGTGTGTGTGTGTGTGTGTGTGTGTGTGTGTGTGTGTGTGTGTGGGTGTGTGTGTGTGTGTGTGTGTGTGTGTGTGTGTGTGTGTGTGTGTCTGAACAGAACTGTTGTTGTGCAACACACTTCACCAACATTGCTTAGAATGAGTCTGGTGTGTGTCTGAATGGTGTGTGGTGGTTGGAGGGGCTGATGGCACGGACTGGTTGCCTCAGTGTGCCCCAGGGCAGCTGTGGCTACAGTAGTAGTTTATCACCGCTGTGTATGGAGTGAATGAGTAATGATGTGATGGCAATATGAAGCCCCATGAAGCCTTGAGGGATCGCAGCCTATTACTCGGCCCATGAGTCGAAGGCTCGAGGTGAATCATGCTCCACTACGCCATCATGTGGACAAAGAAATACATAACACTCTTAAGTGCTTACAATGAATGGTGAGATCTAATGTTAAAATGTATATTTACAATCTATGGTCTAACGTGTTGTGTTTGAAATGATGCTTCATGAACTATGAACTATTTGAGTCTTTCAGTCAATTGTGTTGATACAACAAACACATCCAAAGTAATACAGTTCTACAGAAAGTGATTAATGGAGGAAAAACTACCAAGAGGTGGATTAATTAAACACAACAAACCATTTATTCCCAATAAATAAATACATTTACTTTGCAACACAAAATTTATTATGGGTAGACCAGGATTCGAACGCTATATCTTCTGCTTCGGAGTCCGTCATATACCGACTGCGCCACACAGCTGTTGTGAAATGTATTATCCAGCGTATTATTACTAATAACTTGAAGCCTTGATATATGAGGTTTTACTAAAGTGAAACGTTTTTAATTGTATTTCATATGAAGTAGTTTCTCTATACTTAGTACAGGACTGCTCCACATCACACACACACACGTACGCTCCTTCTACACCTCCCTCGGCGTCTTCTCCTCCTTCTACACCTCCCTCGGCATCTTCTCCTCCTTCTACACCTCCCTCGGCATCTTCTCCTCCTTCTACACCTCCCTCGGCATCTTCTCCTCCTACACCTCCCTCAGCATCTTCTCCTCCTTCTACACCTCCCTCAGCTTCTTCTCCTCCTTCTACACCTCCCTCAGCTTCTTCTCCTCCTTCTACACCTCCCTCGGCATCTTCTCCTCCTTCTACACCTCCCTCGGCATCTTCTCCTCCTACACCTCCCTCAGCATCTTCTCCTCCTTCTACACCTCCCTCAGCATCTTCTCCTCCTTCTACACTTCCCTCAGCATCTCCTCCTTCTACACCTCCCTCAGCTTCTTCTCCTCCTTCTACACCTCCCTCAGCATCTTCTCCTCCTTCTACACCTCCCTCAGCATCTCCTCCTTCTACACCTCCCTCAGCATCTTCTCCTCCTTCTACACCTCCCTCAGCATCTCCTCCTTCTACACCTCCCTCAGCATCTCCTCCTTCTACACCTCCCTCGGCATCTTCTCCTCCTTCTACACCTCCCTCAGCATCTCCTCCTTCTACACCTCCCTCGGCATCTTCTCCTCCTTCTACACCTCCCTCAGCATCTTCTCCTCCTTCTACACCTCCCTCAGCATCTTCTCCTCCTTCTACACCTCCCTCAGCATCTTCTCCTCCTTCTACACCTCCCTCAGCATCTTCTCCTCCTTCTACACCTCCTCAGCATCTCCTCCTTCTACACCTCCCTCAGCATCTCCTCCTTCTACACCTCCCTCAGCATCTCCTCCTTCTACACCTCCCTCAGCATCTTCTCCTCCTTCTACACCTCCCTCAGCATCTTCTCCTCCTTCTACACCTCCCTCAGCATCTTCTCCTCCTTCTACACCTCCCTCAGCATCTTCTCCTCCTTCTACACCTCCCTCAGCATCTTCTCCTCCTTCTACACCTCCCTCAGCATCTTCTCCTCCTTCTACACCTCCCTCAGCATCTCCTCCTTCTACACCTCCCTCAGCATCTCCTCCTTCTACACCTCCCTCAGCATCTCCTCCTTCTACACCTCCCTCAGCATCTTCTCCTCCTTCTACACCTCCCTCAGCATCTTCTCCTCCTTCTACACCTCCCTCAGCATCTTCTCCTCCTTCTACACCTCCCTCAGCATCTCCTCCTTCTACACCTCCCTCAGCATCTCCTCCTTCTACACCTCCCTCAGCATCTCCTCCTTCTACACCTCCCTCAGCATCTTCTCCTTCTACACTTCCCTCAGCATCTTCTCCTCCTTCTACACCTCCCTCGGCATCTTCTCCTCCTTCTACATCTCCCTCGGAATCTTCTCCTCCTTCTACACCTCCCTCAGCATCTTCTCCTTCTACACCTCCCTCAGCATCTCCTCCTTCTACACCTCCCTCAGCATCTTCTCCTTCTACACCTCCCTCAGCTTCTTCTCCTCCTTCTACACCTCCCTCGGCATCTTCTCCTCCTTCTACACACAGTCTGTTGTAATACCTCCTGTGTCCACCAGGCGCCGCTGCCTTCCTACAGCAGCAGAGACCAGAGAGAGACCAGAGAGAGACCAGGGAGAGACCAGAGAGAGACCAGAGAGAGACCAGAGAGAGAGACCAGGGAGAGACCAGAGAGAGACCAGAGAGAGAGACCAGGGAGAGACCAGAGAGAGAGAGCAGAGAGAGACCAGGGAGAGACCAGAGAGAGACCAGAGAGAGACCAGAGAGAGACCAGAGAGAGACCAGAGAGAGAGACCAGGGAGAGACCAGAGAGAGAGACCAGAGAGAGACCAGAGAGAGAGACCAGGGAGAGACCAGAGAGAGAGAGCAGAGAGAGACCAGGGAGAGACCAGAGAGAGACCAGAGAGAGACCAGGGAGAGACCAGAGAGAGACCAGAGAGAGACCAGAGAGAGACCAGAGAGAGACCAATCAGAAGAGTCAGACAGTACAGATATTTAAACAGGAGGACGACAGCATGTTATGGTCTGATTTCTTCACAACTTTCTTCTTTCTAACGACTTTTTCACTTTAATGAATGAAAACAACACTTTATAAATGTGACCAAATGTGAGTTTTCATAGAAAGTTCCTGTTCCGCTGAGAGCATCCTGGTCTTCATCACATTAAAGCAAGATTGAAGCCAAAGTGTCCAAAGAGAACAGGAGTAGACAGTATCAGAAGTATGTAAACACAGAGGTCTGACTGCTGAATACTCGGCTCTCCTCTCCACAGACACGACTTGGAACTCACTGCTCTCTAATGTACAGCACTGTATGAAGTCACAGCTAAAGTCAAATCTATATTTCATTCAATAAATCATTGTCTGATAAAGAGCAGGCATGTCCAAACTGAGGCCCGAGAGCCAACTGTGGCCTGCTGCATCATCGTATGTGGCCCTCCTCCTCCTCGCTGACCATAAATACCATTGAGACTACAAACACAAGTGTCATCCAGCCAGCTTCAGCTCCGCCCATACAGACATGTTAGACCTCGTTCTGACGTTTGTTTTCACCGTCACTAAAGTCTGATGTCGCTGGGGAGAAAGTAAACATTAGTCATCCAGCCAACTCCAGCTCTCCCAGAGGAGAAGGGGGAGGAGAAGATGCTGAGGGAGGTGTAGAAGGAGGAGAAGATGCTGAGGGAGGTGTAGAAGGAGGAGAAGATGCTGAGGGAGATGTAGAAGGAGAAGATTCTGAGGGAGGTGTAGAAGGAGAAGATTCTGAGGGAGGTGTAGAAGGAGGAGAAGATGCTGAGGGAGGTGTAGAAGGAGGAGAAGATGCTGAGGGAGGTGTAGAAGGAGGAGAAGATGCTGAGGGAGGTGTAGAAGGAGGAGAAGATGCTGAGGGAGGTGTAGAAGGAGGAGAAGATGCTGAGGGAGGTGTAGAAGGAGAAGATTCTGAGGGAGGTGTAGAAGGAGAAGATTCTGAGGCAGGTGTAGAAGGAGGAGAAGATGCTGAGGGAGGTGTAGAAGGAGGAGGAGATGCTGAGGGAGGTGTAGAAGGAGGAGAAGATGCTGAGGGAGGTGGAGAAGGAGGAGAAGATGCTGAGGGAGGTGTAGAAGGAGGAGATGCTGAGGGAGGTGTAGAAGGAGGAGAAGATGCTGAGGGAGGTGTAGAAGGAGGAGAAGATGCTGAGGGAGGTGTAGAAGGAGAAGATGCTGAGGGAGGTGTAGAAGGAGGAGAAGATGCTGAGGGAGGTGTAGAAGGAGGAGAAGATGCTGAGGGAGGTGTAGAAGGAGGAGGAGATGCTGAGGGAGGTGTAGAAGGAGGAGAAGATGCTGAGGGAGGTGGAGAAGGAGGAGAAGATGCTGAGGGAGGTGTAGAAGGAGGAGAAGATGCTGAGGGAGGTGGAGAAGGAGGAGAAGATGCTGAGGGAGGTGTAGAAGGAGGAGAAGATGCTGAGGGAGGTGTAGAAGGAGGAGAAGATGCTGAGGGAGGTGTAGAAGGAGGAGAAGATGCTGAGGGAGATGTAGAAGGAGGAGAAGATGCTGAGGGAGGTGTAGAAGGAGGAGAAGATGCTGAGGGAGGTGTAGAAGGAGGAGAAGATGCTGAGGGAGATGGTGTGACTGGACCAAGCTCTAAGTATCTCTAACTATTTCTAACTCTATCTCTTACTCGATCTCTAACTATCTCTAACTATCTCCAACTATCTCCAACTATCTCCAACTATATTCACAGTTCCAAGTTCCTGTGAACCCACATATGTGAGGACTAGTCCTGGACCATCAACACCTCCACCATGGTCAAGAAGGCCCACCAGCGCCTCTTCTTCTTAAGAACTCTCAAGATGTCTCCGTCCGTAATGCTGCATTACTGCGGCTGCGGCTGTAAAGTGCCAAACTGCCGTTGTGTCCTTAGGCAAGACACTTTACCCCCAATGCCTAGAATGAGTCTGGTGTGTGTGTGAATGGTTGGTGGTGGTGGGAGGGGCCGATGGCACAGACTGGTTGCCTCGCTTCTGTCAGTGTGCCCCAGGGCAGCTGTGGCTACAGTAGTAGTTTATCACCACCGTGTGTGGAGTGAATGAATTGATTATTATTATTATTATTATTATTATTATTATTATGATATCTAACTATCTCTAACTCTTTGGGCAGCACAGTGGCTGAGTGGTTAGCACTCTCGCCTCTCAGAAAGAAGGTCCTGGGTTGGAATCCCGGTCGGACCAGGGCCTTTCTGAGTGGAGTTTGCATGTTCTCCCCGTGTCTGCGTAGGTTTCCTCTGGGTACTCCGGTTTTCCCCTATCACTAAAAACATGTACAATAGTTCTGACATGTGCCTCCTGCACTGGCCCCTCCCATCTCTGTGTGGAGTGAGAGACAAATGAACAAAAATAACAATTGTAAACCGCTTTGTGACTCTGGTCTGTGAAAGGCGCTATATAAATAAACATTACTTACTTAACTATATATCTATCTTTATCTCTATCTTTAACTCATTGACTGCCAGCTGTTTTTGATTATTTCACTCACTTTATAGACCCACAGAATATTGTGTGCTATGACTATGGGAAACATGGAACCAGATTTTGAAAATTGGACTGTCTACGTTCATCAGGAAAAATATGTTGGTTTCTAGCTAGTTTGGTTCTCCTGTAATCCCCAGTCGAATACAAGGAAGTTTGACCGAAATCACAAGTATTACAAAAAACACGTCAATGGCATTCAATGAGTAAACTCTAACTCTATCTCTAAATATATCTAAATGTCTCTAACTATCTCTAATTATCTCTATCTCTAACTATCTCTAAATGTCTCTAACTATCTTTAACTCTGTCTCTATCTCTAACAATCTCTAATTATCTCTGTCTCTAAATGTCTCTAACTATCTTTAACTCTGTCTCTATCTCTAACTATCTCTATCTCTATCTTTAACTCTAGCTCTATGTCTAACTATATCTCTAACTATCGCTAACTATGTCTAACTCTATCTCTAATTTATGGTACAGTGAATGCTCATATTGCAGACGGTTCACTGATACTAATCTCATGTTGTGTTCTTTGCTCTGATTATTTTCCTGTAAATTCGCAGCGAAACGTAATGAATCCAGATTCAGATGAATGTAATACCTCCTGTGTCCAGCAGGCGCCGCTGTCTGTTATCACACAGAGGTTCCATGGTGTAATGGTTAGCACTCTGGACTCTGAATCCAGCGATCCGAGTTCAAATCTCGGTGGGACCTGATCTTTATGTGTTGAATTAAACTCTGAACTATTTCTGAAAAATAACAGAGATAAAAGATGAAAGAACCAGAGCTCACTGGGCTCACATGGTCCCAAACCCAACAAGTGCACTTGGTCTGAACTGGTCTGTGATGTTATCAGAACAAGTATTGATACCAGCATCAGATACTCGAGTACAGAGAGAGAGAGAAACCCTGCTGTGACGCACTGGGACAGAGTTTAAAGCTGAGAAAAGAACTGGTGTGAAATCTACAGCATCTATTTCAGTCTGTTGTAATACCTCCTGTGTCCACCAGGCGCCGCTGCCTTCCTACAGCAGCAGAGACCAGAGAGACCAGAGAGAGACCAGAGAGAGACCAGAGAGAGAGACCAGAGAGAGACCAGAGAGAGACCAGAGAGAGACCAGAGAGAGAGACCAGAGAGAGACCAGAGAGAGAGACCAGGGAGATACCAGGGAGAGACCAGAGAGAGAGACCAGAGAGAGACCAGAGAGAGAGACCAGAGAGAGAGACCAGGGAGAGACCAGAGAGAGACCAGAGAGAGACCAGGGAGAGAGACCAGAGAGAGAGACCAGAGAGAGAGACCAGAGAGAGACCAGAGAGAGACCAGAGAGAGAGACTAGAGAGAGACGAGAGAGAGACCAGAGAGAGAGACCAGAGAGAGACCAGAGAGAGACCAGAGAGAGAGACCAGAGAGGGAGAGACCAGAGAGAGACCAGAGAGAGAGCAGAGAGAGAGACCAGGGAGAGAGACCAGAGAGAGAGACCAGAGAGAGAGACCAGAGAGAGACCAGAGAGAGAGACCAGAGAGAGACCAGCGAGAGACCAGAGAGAGAGACCAGAGAGAGACCAGAGAGAGACCAGAGAGAGACCAGAGAGAGACCAATCAGAAGAGTCAAACAGTACAGATATTTAAACAGGAGGACGACAGCATGTTATGGTCTGATTTCTTCACAACTTTCTTCTGTGGAGAAAGTGCAGAGACAGAGAGCTACTGTGATACACCTCTGCTGTTGTATCACAGTAGCTCTCTGTCTCTTCTGCTGTATCACAGTAGCTCTTTGTCTCTTCTGCTGTATCACAGTAGCTCTCTTCTGCTGTATCCCAGTAGCTCTCTTCTGCTGTATCCCAGTAGCTCTCTTCTGCTGTATCCCAGTAGCTCTCTTCTGCTGTATCCCAGTAGCTCTCTTCTGCTGTATCCCAGTAGCTCTCTTCTGCTGTATCCCAGTAGCTCTCTTTTGCTGTATCCCAGTAGCTCTCTTCTGCTGTATCCCAGTAGCTCTCTTTTGCTGTATCCCAGTAGCTCTCTTCTGCTGTATCACAGTAGCTCTCTTCTGCTGTATCCCAGTAGCTCTCTTCTGCTGTATCCCAGTAGCTCTCTTCTGCTGTATCCCAGTAGCTCTCTTCTGCTGTATCCCAGTAGCTCTCTTCTGCTGTATCCCAGTAGCTCTCTGATAGAAAAAGGTGGAGACCCTGTGCTACAATCATCCACCTCTGGGTAAACTGTGGTGAGGTGTGACACACATGTGGCTTTAATCCATTACAGTCATTTTCTAAAACTATTATGAATGAATTTGTCAGAAGTCAAAGTTAAACTCTGACATAGGTCCAGGGCAACAGCAGATATATTTAAAACATCTGAACAAAACACTAAACTCACTTACTCTAATCATAAGACCAACCAAGTATGTGATCATCATCTATTTACAGGGCACATGTGGACACCGGAGCACCTGGAGGAAACCCAGGCAGACACAGGAAGAACATGCAAACTCAACACCAGGACACACCTTCATGTTGTACTTTTCTGAAACGGTTTGTTCAGTTTCACGTCTTGTTTTTACGACACAATGATGTGATCACGACACTGCAGTGGGACAGACACACAACTGTGTCCATTATTCACATTTTAATATTTTACTGACAAACCTTAGAACACACAACTATTTACACTTGTTCAGAATCACAACAACACAAATGACTGTTGGTTCAATATAGAACATCACTAAATGTTTACAATTATGTCACGCATTTGTAACCCGTAAATTATAGATCCATGTGTGTAACAGAATAATATTATAGATCCATGTGTGTAACAGAATAATATTATAGATCCATGTGTGTAACAGAATAATATTATAGATCCATGTGTGTAACAGAATAATATTATAGATCCATGTGTGTAACAGAATAATATTATAGATCCATGTGTGTAACAGAATAATATTATAGATCCATGTGTGTAACAGAATAATATTATAGATCCATGTGTGTGACAGAATAATATTATAGATCCATGTGTGTAACAGAATAATATTATAGATCCATGTGTGTAACAGAATAATATTATAGATCCATGTGTGTAACAGAATAATATTATAGATCCATGTGTGTAACAGAATAATATTATAGATCCATGTGTGTAACAGAATAATATTATAGATCCATGTGTGTAACAGAATAATATTATAGATCCATGTGTGTAACAGAATAATATTATAGATCCATGTGTGACAGAATAATATTATAGATCCATGTGTGTAACAGAATAATATTATAGATCCATGTGTGTAACAGAATAATATTATAGATCCATGTGTGTAACAGAATAATATTATAGATCCATGTGTGTAACAGAATAATATTATAGATCCATGTGTGTGACAGAATAATATTATAGATCCATGTGTGTAACAGAATAATATTATAGATCCATGTGTGTAACAGAATAATATTATAGATCCATGTGTGTAACAGAATAATATTATAGATCCATGTGTGTAATAGAATAATATTATAGATCCATGTGTGTAACAGAATAATATTATAGATCCATGTGTGTAACCAGTGCCATTAAATGCATGTGAATTGAGGACACAGCGCCCTCTTGTGGCGGCCGCTGCACCTGCACCTTTGCTTCGCGGGAAAGGCCCGAGTCCTTTCGCTGCTGGAGAACTCAGAGGAAACATGTCCGTGAATCTGTGAGAGAAATATGGTTTTACTCATGTGTCCCTTTGGAATGCTCAGCGGGTCATTCATGGTTGTGTGTTATTCAGCTGGTGTGTGTTTCTATGTTTTAGGAAAGTCTCTGTCAAAGATATTTAATTTAACCGTGTTTTTCTGCCGGAGGACCTAGCATAGCATGCGGCTAACGTTAGTGGTTAACGGTTAGTGACTAACGGTTAGTGGCTAACGGTTAGCGGTTAACGGTTAGTGGCTAACGGTTAGTGGCTAACGGTTAGTGGCTAACGGTTAGTGGCTAACAGTTAGTGGCTAACGGTTAGTGGCTAACAGTTAGTGGCTAACAGTTAGTGGCTAACAGTTAGTGGTTAACGGTTAGTGGCTAACGGTTAGTGGCTAACGGTTAGTGGCTAACGGTTAGTGGCTAACGGTTAGTGGCTAACGGTTAGTGGTTAACGGTTAGTGGCTAACGGTTAGTGGCTAACAGTTAGTGGCTAACGGTTAGTGGCTAACGGTTAGTGGCTAACGGTTAGTGGTTAACGGTTAGTGGCTAACGGTTAGTGGTTAACGGTTAGTGGTTAACGGTTAGTGGCTAACGGTTAGTGGCTAACGGTTAGTGGTTAACGGTTAGTGGCTAACGGTTAGTGGCTAACGGTTAGTGGCTAACGGTTAGTGGCTAACGGTTAGTGGTTAACGGTTAGTGGTTAACGGTTAGTGGTTAACGGTTAGTGGCTAACGGTTAGTGGCTAACGGTTAGTGGTTAACGGTTAGTGGCTAACGGTTAGTGACTAACGGTTAGTGGCTAACGGTTAGTGGCTAACGGTTAGCGGTTAACGGTTAGTGGCTAACGGTTAGTGGCTAACGGTTAGTGGCTAACGGTTAGCGGCTAACGGTTAGTGGTTAACGGTTAGTGGCTAACAGTTAGTGGTTAACGGTTAGTGGCTAACAGTTAGCGGCTAACGGTTAGTGGTTAACGGTTAGTGGCTAACGGTTAGTGGCTAACGGTTAGTGGCTAACGGTTAGTGGCTAACGGTTAGTGGCTAACGGTTAGTGGCTAACGGTTAGTGGCTAACGGTTAGTGGTTAACGGTTAGTGGCTAACGGTTAGTGGTTAACGGTTAGTGGTTAACGGTTAGTGGCTAACGGTTAGTGGTTAACGGTTAGTGGCTAACGGTTAGTGGTTAACGGTTAGTGGTTAACGGTTAGTGGCTAACGGTTAGCGGCTAACGGTTAGTGGTTAACGGTTAGTGGCTAACGGTTAGTGGCTAACGGTTAGTGGCTAACGGTTAGTGGCTAACGGTTAGTGGCTAACGGTTAGTGGTTAACGGTTAGTGGCTAACGGTTAGTGGTTAACGGTTAGTGGTTAACGGTTAGTGGCTAACGGTTAGTGGTTAACGGTTAGTGGTTAACGTTAGCGGCTAACGGTTAGCGGCTAACGGTTAGCGGCTAACGGTTAGTGGTTAACGGTTAGTGGTTAACGTTAGCAGCTAACGGTTAGCGGCTAACGGTTAGTGGCTAACGGTTAGTGGTTAACGGTTAGTGGTTAACGGTTAGTGGTTAACGGTTAGTGGTTAACGGTTAGTGGTTAACGTTAGCAGCTAACGGTTAGTGGCTAACGGTTAGTGGCTAACGGTTAGTGGCTAACGTTAGCAGCTAACGGTTAGCGGCTAACATCTGTGCAGCTGTGTAATGTCCAGGTTACACATGTTTTCTGTACATTTACTGTGTATTACTGATTAAGGTTAAATGTGTGTTGCAACACTGACAAAAATAACTAACGGGAGTGCACCCTGAGTCGGACACTTTCTGGTGCCTATTATCCTGAGTCGGACACTTTCTGGTGCCTATTATCCTGAGTCGGACACTTTCTGGTGCCTATTATCCTGAGTCGGACACTTTCTGGTGCCTATTATCCTGAGTCGGACACTTTCTGGTGCCTATTATCCTGAGTCGGACACATTTTTGTGGAACTCGTCCTTACTGCCGCTGTTAGCTTTAGCGCTCGCGGCTAACGTTTGGTGGGTACTTTCTACACATGTGTATCTTCCTCCGTGGTAAGTTTTGTCTGTTTATATTAAGATTTCATAGAGTAATCCGCGTTTAAAGGCAGTTTTGATGCTACTACGCGCTCGGACGGCTTACAGGGATTTTACACAGTAGGCGTACTGCTGCTCCTCCTGCTGATGTTTAGACACAAGTGCTGTGTGTGTGTGTGTGTGTGTGTGTTCTTGTAATCATCACGTTGTGGGGACTGAAATCTGTTAACACAGTCACGCCATGGGGACCCATTTCCTTAGGAGGACCAAAAACCAGGTCCCCATAAGGAAAACCATTTAGATGAATGGGGGAGCTGTTTAGAAGGTGCTGGGCAAAGTTTTAGAGAAGGCTCGTAAGTGATGTTTAATGTGTGTGTTGTGGTTGCTCATTGGCACCTCTGGTGGTAATGACTGGTAAGACACATTGGTTTCCACACACACTTTGCATATATAATTAAGTACCGCCCACATCCTGGTCCCCAAGAGTGATGATCTTGGAATCAACTGTTTTCAGCTGCTTTCAAATGCAACAGACAGGTAAGCATAATTTGCAATCATTTTAGAACAAATATTGTATATATGCATGTTATTTAATAGCAACCAAGTTATTGCTAATTCACTTTTGTGGCCTGAATTGCTGTGGTTTTAATGTACAGACTAATGCAACTGGTTCGAGCTAGCATTGGCAACTTGTTGGAGCTAGCATTAGCAACTAGCTTGGACAGCAGATTCTACCAAGCAGCACATGGGTCAATGTTCCCTTCTAAAAGGACATTCAGATGGCGAACAGTTGTCTTCGCAGTAAACGAGTGGTGACTAAATTACATAAGTAGAGCTTCTTATGTACTAGAAGTAGCTAGCTAGGAAGTTAGCACCGATTTTTGCTAACAAGCTAGTGTCAGAGTAAACAGGCTAAAGAATCTGAGTACTCTTTGCTGGTAGCTATACTAAAGACTGTATCTGTTCAATGCTCATGCAAAACGAATAAACTGTGTAATAAGTACAGATTCAGTGATTTACTTTGCATGGTTTCCCTTTTTAAGCAAGATTAGATGTGATTTTAATATACAACCTGTTAGCATTAGCAACTAGCTCGTATAGTAATCAACTTGTGTGTGGTACTTTCAAGAAGCAACTAAAGGTTTCTCAGTACATATACAGGCTCTGAATGATACAACTAAAGCTTTCTATGTAATAGCAGTAACCTATAGTGGCTTTACTTATTAAGAAGTAGTTTGCAGTTTAGTTTTATTTTAAGAATTAAGTGGGTCAAATAGCAGAAATATTTAATTTCTTCAAGTAGAAAGGAAAAAGAAAAGTTACTGAAGTACTGGATGAATATATTAATTGAGTACCTGACTAAATGTTGAAAGTAAAGGTTTGATTTGTAATTATGTATTAAAATATATTAGATATAGAAGATATTTGGAAGTAATATAGTAGAAACAGCTGTACCAAACCTACAGATAAAATAAATTACAAATGTAATAGAATTGTTTCAAAAAATGACTCAAGTGAAATCATAATTATGCATTCTGTTGTTTCAGTTTTTGATGATTTAAATGGCACCACGAATTAGCCCAGAAAAACCTCTGTCTGTGGGGTTTGAAAATTTAGCTGAAAAAGCTGTCTCTGTATATTATATAATTTGAATTGATAAATATAGGTAAGCTTTGAGTATGTAAGCTTGGTGATTGTAGCACTATACTGTATAATGTATGTACTATATGTGTTTAAAAGTTTTTATATATCAATATATATATTTCTTTTTTTTCAGCATTGATGCTTCAGTACAAGATGGCACATTTGGGCGTATTGTTAATGATGACCACATCCACCCAAATTGTAAGATGAAAAGAAGCATTACGAGACAAAAAAGAAGGAGAAGAAATTACTTATGATTATGGTGGAGATGACTGCCCATGGAGAGAAAGAGTATGTCACAAACACACGCTTAAAATAATTGCTTATTTCTAACCTAATACAAAGAATGCCCTTTCAGTTACTGCTATTGACTTGGGCGGCACGGTGGCTGAGTGGATAGCACTCTCGCCTCTCAGCAAGAAGGTCCTGGGTTCAAATCCCGGTTGGACCAGGGCCTTTCTGAGTGGAGTTTGCATGTTCTCCCCGTGTCTGCGTAGGTTTCCTCCGGGTGCTCCGGTTTCCCCTACCACAAAAAATATGTACAATAGGTATGGCATGTGCCTCCTGTACTGGCACCCCCACTCCCAAAAAAATAACAATTGTAAACCGCTTTGAGACTCCGATGTGCAGTGAAAAGGCGGTATATAAATAAAAGCTTACTTACTTACTTACTTACTTGAACTATGTTTGAAAGTTTGTTTCATTGGTCCCCATAAAGAATGAATGGAAGTGTGTGAAATGGCCTCCTATGGTGGTGATTTTACATTGTATGATTGTTTTAGTTATGACTTGGAGCTTGGAGTTTTCTGCTATAGACAAGGCTTTAGGTAGACTTCAGGAAGTCTAGTTTAGACCTTTATAAACCCTGATTCTCCACTGTGAGATCAATTAAGTTTCTCTTATCTTGTTTCATGGTGATCCAGACCTGGTGGTACATTTCAGTATTTTATAACATGGGGCTTGGTTGGAAAAATTGGAGCACTGTTTTAGACTTATAGATTATTATAGTGTTCTATTGTAAAGTCTTATACCTTCTGTCTCCCACAGATGACCCACGTGTCAGCAGATGGCTTTACAACAGGCTTTCTTGATCATTCTGACCATTCTTTGTCAGTTCTGAGCAAGCTTTTTAACATTTGAAGTCAATTATATAAGATTTGTTATGTTTAACTCATTTAACTATATTCAGTAAGTAGATAAGTGGAAGTAGAATATTTTTAGCCTTTTTCAAATGAACCATCACAATGTCCCCATAATAAATTGAGTGACTTCTGTTGAGTTTAATCATGTGTGAAAGTCTGTTGAAATGGTCCCCGTAAAGAAGGAATAGAAGTGTTTGAAATGGTCCTAAAAAGGTCCCCATAACGCACTAGGAGTGACTGATGATGAGTGGAATTGT